AATGAAACATGACCATGGAGTTAAGTTGCTTACTAAAGGGTTAGCAGAGTAGCCCCGGCTTGACTAAATGACATAACTTTATGGATAGTCAGGTCCAAAAAGGATATTTAAACTCTAAAGAATGTCTTGATTCTTGAAAGTTAGTAAAATACAGAAGTCCAGTACATTCCTCTAAGTCAATAAAATAAGACCAGGTCAGAATGCTTTCCTTGGTAGAAATGCAAATTCTCAGCTGCCATCCTGCGCATCAAGGTGCATTCAGAGTGGGCCTCAGCAGTTTGGGTTTTAACAAGCCCTCCAGGTGATTCCAGTGCTTGCGAAGTTTGAGAACCACTGTCATAGAAGCAACCAACTTAACAGTTAAAACAATTTCATTTTGATTGTGTTGGAGAGGAGGTGAGATTTTCCTGCTAAAGTTTTAGAATCAGTAAGCAACGAGCTCAACCAGTGTCTTCTCTGGATAAAGTTATGATTGTGGTAAACTGTTTTTTGTATATCTGATGGAAAGAGTGTATATAGGCATTAGAAGTCCTGGCTTCGTAGTTTATCTCAGATATATGCTACTTAACCTTGAGGAAGTTTCTTTTTTAAGGCCATAGCTTCTTTTTCTGAAAAATGGGACAATACCATCCACCAAGGAGGATCATAGAAAGGGTTGGAAATAATGTAAATAAGTGCTCAATACTTAATAGGAATTGAAAGATCATTATTACTTAAATCATCAGCTTTGTTGCTTTTCTCCCAGTTTAGAGACTATAGCTCCCTCAACACTGTTTACATTTATTAAAAACTAATTTGAAATGTTAATCATGTGATAATTCAGAGATATCAGTTCTTTATCTTCCTAAATCATTCTTTTTTTTTAGTGAGTGAGTTTTTTTTAATTAATTAATTTATTTATTTATTTTTGGCTGTGTTGGGTCTTCATTTCTGTGCGAGGGCTTTCTCTAGTTGCGGTGAGCGGGGGCTACTCTTCATCGCGGTGCGCGGGCCTCTCGTTGCTGAGCACAGGCTCCAGACGCACAGGCTCAGTAGTTGAGGCTCACGGACCCAGTTGCTCCACGGTATGTGGGATCTTCCCAGGCGAGGGATCGAACCCGTGTCCCCTGCATTGGCAGGCAGATTCTCAACCACTGCGCCACCAGGGAAGCCCCCTAAATCATTCTTGGCTAGATCATTCTTGGCATATAGTCTACTGCTTGGTCACCTAATACTATGTTAGGGGAAATTCCAGACCGACTAGAATTGAACTCAGTTCACTTGAGACAGTGATTTTGGCAAACCGCCAGTTAACTTTCAGCCTGGATTAAACTTTTCTAGAATCTAAAAGGAAACAAGATCATTTAAATTATTGTAGTCACAAGTAGAAAATTGGAAGAATGATTTCATTTTAGGCCTCTTTAGAACTAAGTTGTACCTTATGTAGGATTAAAGAAAAAAAGAACTTAATGTGAATTTGAATTTTAGGACACTTGATAATTGGATATATGTATTTGTAGAATGAAAGTTGGAACTCATTGTACTTAAGTAGCGCTGAGAGAATGACATTGATTGCATGAATGTTGGCTAAGCAGGATCCATCTTTCCGACCCTACATTTTGCCTCCCCCCTTTTTTCTTTTTGAATTAATTTTCTTCTGTAATTGTGGAAAACATTTTCATGGTTCCAAAGGAAAAACTATAAAAGACGGTACATTCAGAGAAGTCTAGCTTCCAAGTTTATGCTGTCTGCTCACTGTTCTCTTCCTCTCTCTATAAGCAATCATTCTTGTTTGTTTTTGGTTTATTCTTTTTAAAAAATAAAGACATTCATTTTTATCTTCCTTTGTGGATAAAAGGCAACATTATATTTACACTATTCTGCACTTTACTTTTTCACTATTCCATAGCATGTAGATCTTACACCACTTTACAACTGCATAATACTCAGCTGCATAGTACTTTGTCATATAGATGTATTGTAGTTTATTCAGCCATCTTCTATTGATAGACATTTAGTTTGCTTCCATTCTTTGCTATTACAAATAGTATTTTGCAGTTCATCTTTGGAATAAATTCCTAGAAATGAGATTGTGGGTCATAGTTTAAATGCAGATGTAGTTTTGCTAGCACTTGCCAACTTTCCCTCCATAAAGGCTGTAACAGTTTCTGTTCCTATTAGGAATGTGTGAGAATCCTTATTTCCTTACAGCTTTGTCAACAGAGTATGTCAGACTTTTGGATTTTTGCTAATCTGATACGTGAGAAATGATTACATCAGCATCCAATTGACTCTTGAACAACACAGGTTTGAACTTTGTGGGTCCACTTATATGTGGATTTTTTTTAATAGTAAATTTTATTGTACTACACGATCTGTGCTTGATTGAATCTATGTATGCAGAACCATGGATGTGGAGTATAGGGAGGGCCAACTATAACTTATACAAGGAGTTTTGACTGAGCCGAGGGTTGGCGCCCCTAACCCCCGTGTTGTTGAGGGGGGTCAGCCGTAGTTTTAATTAGTGTTTCCCTTCTTATGAGTGAAAGTAAACATTAATTAAACATCTTTTCACTTAAACGTTTTGAATTAACTTCATATTTATATTAATTTTTAAGGAAGTATTTCTTGGTTATCACTGCTGCTACTGTTGCGAATAATTATTCTGGATTTCCCCCCCCAGAGGTCGTAATAATAATCACTCAAGAAACTGTTACCTCTCATGTATGATTAAATAAAAAAAACCTATTTACATATTTCTTGTATTCAGAGATGTCACAGTCTAATTTGGGAAAAAAGACTTGCATGAAGATCATCATGGTTCAGTGAAATAAATGCTGATGGAGATAAATACCAAGTTCTGTGGGAGCATTGAGATTGGGATGGAGTGACTTGGATATCAGGAAGGTATCAGGAAGATTATTGGTTAGCATATGAGGTAGCTTTGGGGTTGAGTCTTTAAGGAAGAGGAGGAGATTGCTAGGCTGACCCTGCCTGGAAGAGTATTACTGCCAGAGGAAGCAATGCCAAGGAAGCATATGGTGTCTGAGCATTCACAGGTTGCCTGGTTTTGTGGTGGGTTGTGGTGGGTTGTGGTGGGCTGGGCGTTGTGACGTGACTGCAGCTGGACCATCTGGGTTTGCTAGGTCTCCACTTCTTGACCCTGAGCCCACTTCTAAATTTAAGCACAACAGTGCCAACTTGATTAAAAATTCGATTAAAATATTCATGTTTCTATTTTCTTAATTTTCCCCCTGATGCATACATCCCCTCTTGATAATCTTCCTACTCATTTTTGAATAAACTGGGGAGGGTAACCCTGAGAGGAGGTAGAGTGATTCCTTTGCCCCCTTCCCATTTTATTGTTGAGCAGGCCTAAAGACTTTTTCATCTCTGCTGTACTTTTAATTTATACTTACCAATTGCTTATTGCCAAGTTAGAGACTCCTTATATAGTAGCTTGTTGTTTTTTAAAATTAATTAATTAATTTTTGGCTGTGTTGGGTCTTTGTTGCTGCACGTGGGCTTTCACTAGTTGTGGGAGCCGGGGCTAACTCTTTGTTGCGGTGCACGGCCTTCTCATTGTGGTGGTTTCTTTTGTGGCGGAGCACGGACTCTAGGCATGTGGGCTTCAGTAGTTGTGGCCTGCGGGCTCAGTAGTTGTGGCTCGTGGGCTCTAGAGTGCAGGCTCAGTATTTGCGGTGCATGGGCTTAGTTACTCCGTGGCGTGTGGGATCTTCCTGGACCAGGGCTCGAACCCATGTCTCCTGCATTGGCAGGCAGATTCTTAACCACTGAGCCACCAGGGAAGCCCAGTAGCTTGTTTTGTTTGGTTAAGGGAAAGGACTGGCAAGGTGTGAGGGTGGTTATAAGAGAGTTGATAAGGCTGGAAAGGTAGGCAGGGGCTAGTTGGAAACTCTGTATCTCATTTTGAGGAATGTATATTTTATAGTTGAGTCTCTAAAAGTCTGAAATGGATAAGGGGCAGAGGAGAGGGATTGGAGGAGGGGAATGACAAGATTAGCTTTACATTTTTGAAAGGTAACTTTGATGACTGTGTTGAGGAAGATGGATTGGACAGTGTACAGTGTAGACAAGGGAGCAGTGGTCCCCAGACCAGCAGCATCACCTGGGAACTTGTTAGAAATACAGATTCTCAGGTCCCACCCCAGACCTACTGAATCAGAAACTCTGGGAGTGGGGTGCAGCAATCTGTGTTTTATTTGATTCTGGTGAATGTGAAAGTTTGAGACTAGGGATATGAAGGCTGATGAGGCTGTATATTATGGTTTGCAAATGCCTTTCACCTTAATTATGTAGTTGATTTTGTTGAGATCATTATATTTGTGTCTTACTTTCATAGTCAAGAGCAATAGAATAACTAGGATTTTGTGATTTAGTTACTTATATGAAAGCCTAGTATTAAGATTTGAAAAGCTGGGATAATGTAATATATTATACTTGGAAGAGGGAGACAGTCTAGGGTCATGTGGAACAGTAAATACAGTCATGGGGAAGCACTGTAGTAGAATAAAACGAGTAAGAGGTGCTTAATCTTGAATGCTCTAGATGTTGCCTGTACATGACATTGATTTGTATCGTGGTACTTAAATCTGCAGTGGGGAAAACTGAAGATATTATTTTTTAAAAAAGGGGAACGTGAGCTCTTTGTGGAGCCCAGAGGAAAGGATGGGTTTACTCAAGATTTGCTGAGCTGCCCTGTGCAATCCGTTCCACACAGCTGTTATGAGGTGGTCTATTTTCATTCTTTAAATAATAGCTAGCAGCTGATTTGCATCTAACCCAGTTTTCATTTGTTTTTCTTTGAGAGTGTGAGGGCTGTGGGTTTAAATTTCAACTTTCTGGAAGTGGGACTGAGTAAATCTGATAATCTTCTTTATTTTCCTCTGTTAGCTTTGCTGGGTGACCAAAAGGACAGATAAAGCAAATGCTTTGTAAATATCATAATTGTATCTTAAAGGATAAGTAATCTTTTTTTTCTCCTTCGAATTTTATTCCAGGACCCATCAGTTACACAAGTGACAAGAAATGTCCCACCAGGACTTGATGAATACAATCCATTTTCGGATTCTAGAACAGTAAGACTATTCTTAATTGGACTACTTTTAAATATTAAAATGGAAATTAAATAGGATTTATATTTCAATTATGGTTTCTTTTTAGTTGATTGGTTAAACTTATATAAAATAAGCTGTTAGTGTTTCATTTAGAATTTAGCAAGTTTATTAAAACAGGAAGGACTATTCCTAGTAATTGAAAATTACCATGATGGTTCTACAAATTAAATTGCTAATAACCCCTCTAATATGTTAAAATTACTACAGTTCTTTAAACAGGTGAGGTTTTTTGGTATACATGTTAGTTTCATGGTAATACAGGGTGATGTTTTCTTACAAAGAGAGGTGTTCGTCTGGAACTGTACCATGAATATCTGTATGATTGTCATTTGAATTAGGTGATTCTGAATAGGACTAGCTTTCTACTCTGGTAGACTAGAACCTCTGGAACCTGGCCTAGGAGCATATTCTTCTCAAAATGTAGTCTTGGTTTACAAAATGAAGGAGTATAGAAAAAACCCTGAAAGGGTTTTTTTTTTTTACAGGGTTCTCTACCCTGAATGCATATTAGAAGCACCTGGAGAACTTTATTACAGTATCTGTTAGGGCTCTAATCTCCCACAGGGCACTTCCGTTTTTTGTTTATGCTATAGCGCTTTTGATGATTTTATTGTGAGCCAATTTTGAGGACTACTGAAGGTAGGTTCTGTTGAGAATTCTCCCTCAAAATTTCTCTGGCAAATAATGTTGTCTCCTGTATTTCAGTTCTTAGCTCAAATATCACACTCACGAGGCCCCTAATTTTAAACACTGTTGGCTCTTGAACTGTTAGTCATCCTCTTAAAGATATTAAAGTTCTTCAGTTACGTGCTTGGATTTACATGTCATTATAAGGATCCTTACTTGATCATCTCTTCCTGATGCATGTTTTTCATAGTCTAGAAAATAATTCTAGAAGATTGTGTAGGCTTTTGCTTGGAAATTTCTCCAAGATGTATTAACTTTTCAGTTTTAAGAAGAACTTTGTACAAAGGAAAAGCACTAAAATAAGAGTGAACTTTAAAATTTCACTTTATTTCAAAGCGCTCATTTTTTTTTTAACAGCCTCTGTTTATGTGTAGCAGCTGCAACCCAGGCTGGAATCATCAAGTGTTCTTTGAGCATGTCAGTTTCAGATTGAACCCTGTGAAATGGCCAATAAGTTGACCAGTTTTGACATGTAAAGATGACAGTGTCATATGGCTTAACCTTATAGTGAACTGTGAAAATGTATGAGATTGCAACTTGGTAGGAGTTGAAAGGGAGAAAAAGAAAAGCCCGGTATATTTTATTCCACTATATGTAGTTTGATCATTTCTGGGGGCATGGAGATGGGAACACGACTGTTAAATTTGTTGGTAAAGAATAAAGGGAGGTTTTTTTTTTTTTTTTTTTTTTTTTTTTTTTTTTTTTTTTTTTTTTTTTGTTCAGCGGCCATGGCTCACGGGCCCAGCCGCTCCGCGGCATGTGGGATCTTCCCGGACCGGGGCACGAACCCGCGTACCCTGCATCGGCAGGCGGACTCTCAACCACTGCGCCACCAGGGAAGCCCTAAAGGGAGGTTTTTATATAATTTTTTGGAAGATTTTACTAGCAAAAAATGTTTAACCTTTTTACAGTAGCAGCTTTAGATTATTCTTTTTAGAAGTAGTAATGTTCTTCAACAAGTTGTCTACTCTGTGCCATGTGCTTTACCTGTATTATTTTATCGAATTCTTATAACAGCATTCAAAATGGATATTTTTTGTTTCCTTTTACTGATAAAGAATCTTAGACACAAGTCATCCAGCTAGTAAGTGGCAGAACTGGTTTATGTAACTCCTCTTTCTTCTGTAAAGCTTTTGCCTTTTCCATTTTGTTAGTGCTGTCTTTAGAGACAGATGCCTAAGAAATAGAAGATACTGTCCCGGTCTATGGAAAATTTCTCACCTAATTGGGATTTTAAAAAATTACACGAATTAGATATGTCCAGGAAGAATAAAACAAAAATGTAAATTATGGTTCTAAATGTTGAGACTTTACAGTCAAGGAAAGGTTTTCTGAAAGAGAGTCGCTAGGCAATAATGAAAAGCCAGCTCAGAACAAAACACTTCTCTTAGATTTGATGAGTAAGATAGTGTCAGAACCAGGAAAAATATTGTTACAAGAGCACTTAGGCATTTTCCACTGAACTTTTTACATGATGGAAAATACAGATGCAATAATTTAAAAATTCAAAATTCTTTTGTTTCATATATGTATGATTTTAGAAATTTGTCCCACCACTCCCCCCGACCCCACTGGGTTTTGCAGCCGTGACTGTTTTCTAAGAGCAGACATACTTGGATAATTGATGTAAGTGATATGTCAGAACTCAGTCCAGATACTATTTTAGTTGATTGTTGTTATCCATATTTTTCTTAGAAAAGTATTTGTGAAAATGAAGCTTCTAGATTGTTGCAGAAGGGTGTGGTGAGCTACTTGAGGTCAAGTAGGAAGATCCTTCAGCAGAATGAGCATATAACCTTAAGATTTTAGAAAGTTCCTGTCTTTTTAATTTTTTTATTAGGTTTCCTTTTATATTTAGTTTTCTGTTTGAATGGAAACTTTAAGGAAAGTAACAATTAATAAATAATTTTAATAATTTACATATTAATTCATTCTGTATTATAAATTCAGAGAAAGGAATCCTCATAAAACACCACATAGTTTAGACTTAGTCTGTTGGCAGTTTACTGGAAGGCTATTCAGTCGAAATGTGGTGGTCTGAATTGAGATGTGCTGTAAAATGGAGGATAGTCTTTGGTTATGAAATAATTTTTTTCTGTTTGAACTCAAAATGCATTTTACCACTGGAATTATGTTGAGCTTGGTGGGTAGCTTCCCTGGCCTGCCCTCTAAAGCTTAATGCATAAATTACTAGAAGAATTAGCTCATCCTTGAGAGCTGTTATGTATTTAGGGGGAATGTTTTCCTTTTAAATTAGGCAACCGTTTAAAATGCCTGCTGCAGCTTGATTCTCACTAGTTTCAGCCACTGGTGATGGCATTCACGGCTTCAGACAGGATGTCTTCTGGCAGGTGTTGAAGTACAGGGATAGGGAGACCTATGTGTGTGGGGGTAGTGTGGTGCTGTTGATAAAATCCTTAGTGATGTTTCTCAGGGCCTAGTTTACTGTCATATTTTTTTTCTTCAGGAATAGGTTGCTTAGTTCCTTTTCTGTTCTGCTAGTTGTTGACATATATGATTTCTGTCATATAAAGCAGCAAGATCTGCAGAAGAACCAAGAGAAGAAAATTCCAAGTACTGGCATGCTCAAGTGGTCATTTCTGACCATAAAGGACATAGATAAATGATTTATGTAAGTAAGAACTGCCTCTGACTAAGTTAATTCAGGACATGGAGTTAGACTTAGAGTCGTAAGACCTGGATTCTAATCTAGGCCTTGCCACTAATTAGTTGGTACCTTTAGACAAGCCATCTAACCTCTCTGGGCATCTTTTTTTTTTTTTTTTTCCTTCAATGTGTAAGAGTGGAGGCAGAGAGGAAGATGTTGAGTTGAATAATTTCTGATGTCAGCTTTTGTTTTGAAAATGGATAAAACTTTAACTCCAGGCACTGACTGGATAGTACATAGTAGCTTGCCTATTTTTAATACCACAAAAGCAATTTCTGTACTGTAATATCTGTCTTTCTTTTCCCTTGGCACGCATTTCTTTTTTCTTTCTCCTTTGCTTCTTGTCTTTCTTGGAGCTCATTATCTGTCCCTTCCGAAACCAGTCTTCTTTGTTTCTTGTCTTATTTAATGATAACTATTGCCTTCTGTTCTTCTAGTGTCATTGGCTGGAAGTACCTGAGTCGTCTTTGGCTCAAACAGCTTCTTTTCCTACATCTAATCAGTAGCCACGTCCTGTCATTTATACCTCCAGGAGATATTACCTGTCTCTCCTTTTCATTCCTACTAAACTGTCCTAATTCAGGTACTCATGTGAGATAATACAATGACCTGTCTACTTACCTGTCTCCAGTTTCTCTTCTGCAAATCAGTTTTTTGCACTATGACTAGAATTATTTTTTTTAAGGCAAAGTTCAGATTACGTCTTTTCTCCTTAGAAACGTGTGCATTGATTATGCATTGTCTACATAGTAGTGTGCCATGTGGGGCCTCCATGATTTGACTTAAGACTATCTTTTTTTATTTTTAATTTTTTATAGACTTTATTTTTTAGAGCGGTTTGAGGTTTACAGAAAAATTGAGCAGAAAGTAGAGAGTCTCCATAGACTTCTTCCCCAGAGTGTCTGTTTAATCTTATCCTCTAAGGTGCCATTTGCTCCAGCTAAAGTCATCTACTTTCTAACCCACAACCCCATTGAGACCACCTCCCTTAGGGCATTTATTGGTGATTGAATGGAGTAAAGAGACACTGTGTGTGGTCATAATGCCTGGCTTCCCTCCTTTAATGGGCCAAGATGAACCTCTCATACTAGGTATATTCATTTTCTATTGCTGTGTAACAAATTACTAAAAATTTAGCAGCTTGAAAAAGCACACATTTATTATTTTATCATTTCTATAGGTCAGGAGTTCGGGCACAGCTTAACTGGGTCATTTGTTCAGGGTTTCACAAGGTTGTGATCAAGGTGTGATCTGGGCTGTACTCTCATCCAGAGGCTTGACTGGGGAAGAATCTGTTTCCAAGCTCATTCAGGTTGTTGCCAGAATTAATACCCTTGTGATTGTATAACTGGGGGCCCCAGCTTTTGGCCAGCTTTCCGCTGGAGGCCACCTTCAGGTCATCGATGCTGTCTACAGTTCCTAGTGGCTATATGGTTTCTTGCCACACAGGCTTCAACATCATGACCACTTATTTCAGAGAGTCTGCAGAGAGTCTCTCACACTTTGCTACTAAGATGGAGTCCCTATATTACATAATGTAATCAAGGGAATGATATCCTATCACTGTTACCGAATTCTGTTGATTAGAAGCATGTCACAGGTCCTG